ACTTAGTACAATTGATGTCTCCTCAGATCTCATTAAGAAACACATAAGCCGTTTGAAATACTCACACTGCTCAGGAACGGACGAGATTCCGAATTCGATTATTAAACAAGCGTCCGACTTTCCCATATTGCTCAGTCATTTATTCTCGGTTTATATTTCAAACGGATTCTTTCCTGAAACATGGAAAACGTCAATTATCATTCCCGTTTTCAAGTCAGGATCTCGGTCCGATGTTAATTAATTATCGGGGCGTGCACAAAACGCCGTCTCTAGCAAAACTTCTTGAAAGGATTATTTTCAATGATATTCTTGACTTCTCTCTAGCTAATCGGCTTCGGAGCTCTAGTCAGCATGGGTTTTTACCTGAACGATCCTGCGAAACATGCCACTTGGCTTTTCTTAATCTAATCACTTCTCTTCGTAATGAGCGGAAGTCAGTGGTTGTTATTTACTTTGATCTTAGCAAAGCCTTTGACAAGGTGCCCCATAGACGTCTTTTAGTAAAATTGGAAGCCCTCGGCATCCGGCCGCCTCTACTCGATTTCATCAGGCCCTATCTGTCCAACCGATATCAGAAAGTCATGGTCGGTAATAGCTACTCGACACCCCACTCGATCACGAGTGGCGTGCTTCAAGGAACGGTTCTGGGTCCGCTACTTTTCCTTCTGTACATCAATGATATTTCGACTGAACTCGGAAATTCGCAAACTTTTACTTATGCCGATGACCTCAAGTGTGTTTACTCATACTCTAAGGACACCGCAAATGTTTGTGTTGAAAAAATTAATGCCGATTTACTACGCTTTAGCAGATGGGGTTCGACATGGCAGATGGAGTTTTCATCATCCAAGTGTAGTTTCAGGTCTTTTGGTCCTACCAAACTTCCTGGTCCCATAATTTTTCAGAATAACCCACTCTCAGAATGCCTCACCATAAAGGACCTAGGTCTAATTTATACAAATAAGCTTGCTTTATCACCTCATGCAGATAGAGTCTCTGCCAAAGCCGCGCTGATATGTGGATTCATATCGCATAATTTTTTCCTTCCGGAAATGAAGCTAAGACTTTATCAAATGTTTGTTCTTCCAGTCCTCGAATATTGCTGTCCTTTCTTCGGTTTAATGAACGCCTGCGACCGTAATAAAATCGAAAATGTTCAGAGGGTTTTCACCCGGAAACTGTTCTCTCAAGCTTCGCCCAGTATTTCTTATACTCAGAGATGTCAGCTGGCGAACATGAGGTTTTTGTGGGTTAGAAGACTCGAAGCTGGCCTTTGCTTCCTTTTTCGCATCAAATCTAGCTCCAGTCTTCCGCACATTGACACTCTCACTCCGAGAGATCGGTCTTATGCCACGCGCAACTCCTGCATGGTGATTCCGCCGCCCCTTTGTACTACATCTCAATTCAATTCAATTCAATTATTTTTATTAAAGACCCGTCGGGGTCCCATCAAAGCAAGTAAAAATAAATTTACATGCAAATTTTAGACGATGTAGGCAAAATCTGCACAAAGTGCAATGCATAGTTTTTGAGATCAGAAGTCCGTTAAGCAAAATCTTAGCGCTCCCTCTTCTTTGCTTCCAAATATGCCTTCCTTTGGAATAATCTTCCGCCTGAAATTAGATTATCGCCTAAGTTACTGGTATTCAAGTCGAAATTACGCAAACATCTTACACCGGAAAGCATAAAGGCACTGTTAACGGTTTCATTCCCGAACACTCAGATTCTTGACTTCGAGAAGGGTCCTCCTGGGATTTAGTGGTAAATTAAGTGGTAACTCTTAATTATATCATTAGAAACCCCTGTTTTTAATTGGTTTCTAAATCCATCGCTATCCTTCCCCCCCATAGCGACAATTTTCGCGGTTTTTGATGTCATTTCCCGCATTCCGACCTCATGCGGTCTGTCGACGCTCACGGCGGAACCCTCAGTATTCACTGTCTACTAGTAGTTCGGTCGTACCTCTCTTCCTCACTGCTCGGCTGAGCTCGAAGCGTGCTGTGGCCGATCGCATCTGGGTTCCTCTCGTCTGGCCTCTTTGACGCGGCGTACCAATCCGGCCCAGACGATCTCAATTGTGAATCCCGTATACAATGCCATATGCAAGCCAGTCCTGTCTGACCCACATTCTTACCCATCAAGGCTGACATTTATTGCTACCCTGATGATGACCGTCAACATTCCGTTATATACCGCCACCTACAGGCCAGTCCTGCTCGTTTTTTCTGTTTTTATTTTTATGGAGAGGTTTTTTTCTCCTGTAAAACCAATCCAATCATTTTTAACTTTTTGTAAGGAGTTTTTTTCACCCCTCAATCATCATGTTTCTCAATGGATTAATAATTCAGAAACTATGAATTGCATTTTGTAAAGATTCGGCCTACCTCGTCTAAAACTCGCATGCAAATTTATTTTAACTTGTTTTGATGTGACCCCGACGGGTCTTTAATAAAAATTATCTATCTATCTATCTAGTCCGCAGGCTAAAATTGCCTACAAGGCCATTTGTTCACTGTTGATAGAAAGCGTAATGAACTACGCGACAGCCAAACCTACGACCAAGTAAGATGGTAACAACCAGATTAATTCTCATTTTAAGAGAGAGTTTGGTCAGATTATTTTTTCGCGAAGTTCGTCATTCTCAACATGATTCCTCTAACAGCCGTGCCGCAAATTGATCCAGGACCCATTAAAAGGCTTGCACTTTCTATCAAACATAAATGCGCAAATCGCTCTACACTGACAAGGTTGCAGGAGTCCCTCCCGTAATCATTTAAATACATAAGTAAACGTAGACAAAGAAGATTTTGAAATAGGAAAGCGGACTGTGGGAAGAAATATGCAATACCCCATACAGTCCTATCAGTCGTATAATTTTAAGGAAATGGAAAGTTAAGGGACCAAAAACTTTTACAAAATAGGAGTATTATTCCAGTCAAGACTGCCCGAAGAAATTTCAACTAATTTGGCAATTTCCAAATAAATTAAAAAGTCAAAACAAAATAAGGACCCTGAACCATGTGCAATGGTCCTACTTTAGGCGCATTTTGCGAAAACGTACCTCTCACGAGTACATGTGAAGTCTGATTTACGGCTAATCAATTTCAACTCCGACTCAGGCGAGTTTTTACTAAAGGCTTTCTTGTAACGATCGAGGATTTTGGAAAGACATAGACGAAATTATGCAGCGCGCCCTGGATATATTCCTACGATGAAATGACTAAGCAGGATTGTTAGACAGGCCATCGCGAACGTACAGACAGATAGAACAGAAGAAGTATCAGGTGTGTGTAAAAGACATACTAACGATATATATTGCAACGGTAGAAGATGCAAGAAAATATAATAATTGTATGTATGTATTGGGCCCCATTTTGTTCCTAATATACGTGGACGATTGTGCAAGAGCTTTGGTCTGCGAAGCAGTAATGTTTGCTGACGAAGTAAACAATATGGAATGTAATCCGGGACCCTGCCGACGAAGGTAGACTGCAGATGAGCCTAAATCTGTTGGAGTGGTCAAACCGATGTCTCATGCGGTTCAAAGTCAGCAAGTATACTATACTTCGCCTTGCCAACCCAGCCAGGTCCGCCAACACAAGAGACTTCTTTCTTGACGACGCAGCCTTACACGATGTGAAAGCCTAAAAGGCCCCGGTATGCTGCCGATGACCTCCCCAAAACTGTCCGCTTATTGTCCGTGAGTGGCAAAATTACAATGTCCGTATTGTACGACACGAAACGTGCATTTATGGATTTTGACGAAGACATTAACTGAAAGACTTTCGGAATATTGCTGCGGCCGCACTTGGAATACTGCATACAAGCCTGGAAACCGTGGGCAGAACAAGATCAAAATTGTCTTGAAAGAGTCCAAATGTGAGCCGTGAAAATGGATAGGGGTCAAGGCTCCATCCCTTATGCGACCCGTCCAACAAATCTAAACCTCTTCTATTTCAGTTATAGGCAAATGCGCGGGGATCTCTTGCAAGCATTCCGCATAGTAAAGGCGTTGGACTGCGGCCTGACTTTTGTGGGCTTTTTGAATTCGCTACTACGACCAATCTCTGTGGTCACCCGTTATAACTACACAAGGCTAGATGAGCAGAAGTTATCCTTCTCTGTCCGAGTGGTCAAACTATGGAATGCTCTCCCCGCAGATGTTGCGATGCCACCATCCATAGAACACTTTAAAAGGAACCTTGACATATTTATGCTCAAAAACGAGCAAGAGCGAAGAGAGATCGAGCTCAGCCCCTGATATCTACGCACAATTTGTCATATTACTGTAGGCCCATGTGAACTATTTTGACCCACATGTTTCCTCTGTATACCACCCCAAATTTTATGTTGCAAATAGGGCACCCAAAGGCTCAAACTGTTTCCCTCAGTAAACTGAACTGGACCGAACTGTCGGAAACATTAAATACGCCCCGATTGCCTATCAAAACATCCTCCATTAAAATGGCAGGCACATGTAGTCCAGAAAGACTTGTTGTGCTCTGTGACGTCTCCGCGAATGCTATATTCTCTGAATCACCCAGGCCTTTCACCTGAGTACATAGGCTCTGAGTATCCTGGGTGCAAGTACCCAAACTGATTGTCTTGTAAAACAAAGAAGTACAACCGAACACTACCAATCTGACATCTTTTCTATATGGAGTATAAATTTATGATTATTTTTTACCCTCAACTAATCCTTATGCTAAGCAAAATTTTAGTAATTTGTTGAACTTGCGTGCGCACACACATTGTCGACAAGCACTGTAAACTAGCTGACTAAAATAAGGACCCATAGTCTTTGTCTATCTTCAACACCTTCAAAAACACGATGCCGCTGACAACTTAGTTCGGGTTTTATTACAAATAAAAAGGCAAGAGTCTTAATATATTACTATTTGCAAATATTGTGAACAGCATGTTGTCAGTCATCGCAGTCGCTAGGTTTGTTTGAGTAAGTCACTCTAATTAAGGCGGTCACTTAGGAATTCTCGTGTGTGATGGTAAGTTGGTGGGTTTTCTATATCTAAATTGAAACCAGGCCAAAAGAACAAAGAAGGTTGGGATCGTCGGAAAGTACGGCACCCGTTATGGTGCATCCCTCAGGAAAACGGTTAAGAAAATTGAAATCAGCCAGCACGCCACGTACACCTGCAACTTTTGTGGAAAGGTTTACTGAAATTGTTTACGATAACTCCTTTAAGGAAGCGCTAAGGCGTCAGGCTGCCGGCATCTGGAGCTGTAAGGGCTGCCGTAAGGTGGTCGCAGGTGGCGCCTACGTCTGCAGTACGACTGCTGCCGCAACCACCCGTGCTGCCATCCGAAGAATGCGGGAGACCCAGAAATGATTTTGTAAATCATTTAATATATACTTTATGGCAAGATACGGGGATTCCTTCGTTTTGCGTTGTTCAGAAAGTTGGCTGATATATGGTAATACGCGCTGGAAGCTTTTTAGTTGCTATTTGTTTGATGTCCTGGCTTTTTACTGTCTTTAAGCATTATGGGACGCCTTTTAGTCACAGTAGTTAGTGCAGTTTGGACGCCAGCTAGTCGAAAGCCTAGCGTGGTCTTTACATGCAAATTCATTTTTTGTTACTGCTAGTTTACTTGTAATTTAACGACAAGGGCCTACCTCTGCGTTTGAGTGGTTTGCCCCATTAGTACAGTCATCGGGTGCGCGTGATTGGCACACCTAGTACTTCACCATCCGTTGTGTTCGCCTCTTAGTATCTGATGTCATTATCAACACGTTTTTGAAACAAAGTCTCTTTCTGTGGGCGATCCAGGAGGTAGTTTCCAGCCGGTGCCGTCCGTAAAAAACCTTCTGTTATTGAGTGCTGTCGCCTCACTTATCCACCAACCTTATACGGGGTATAAGGGAGTTAGAACAGGAATACTAGTAAGAACAGTATCGTTTGTAGGGATACGAAGCCGCAATGACTTGTCAGCGCTGTGAATTGAAGTTGACGGTCTCGTCTTGGGGCAGGATAAGCGCTCATTTGCACCAGGCGGCATAGATTGGTCGGCAAAGCATCCAAAGCCCAATGTGCGTGGGGGAGTGGTTGTAGCAAGTAATTTATACACAGCTCCCACCTGGCGAAGGCTTGCATAGCGCACTTTTATTACCCTCCACGCCACCACGCCCCAATGACTAGGCAGTATAAAAGACTGAAGATCGACGTGGACGCAGGAACAGTGACTGGACAGGCTAAAGTCACGTTTGTACGTGCTGGTCCCCTTCTCCACGAAAACCAGCTTTCACTGAGGGGTCCTCGAATTGCACGTAGTTGAGTGTCTACTTTAAGGAGGCATGGCATCCTGACCCTCAGTCCTAAGGACCGAGTTGTTCTGATGTTGACAAGCTCTGGAGCCACGACTGATAACGTACTATCCAGGAAACCCGTTCGGCTGTGCTGTGGTCATTAGACGCGTTGTCTGAGCTGGAACGGTCACGATTTCTTATCCCTCTTTCATGTGACCGAGCGCGCAGGCCATAGTCGTTTTTACCATCGCCATTCCCAACTATCTCCGAAGTGCGTGCGATTGAGGGACAGGGTCAGACAAAACTGAATTCCTAACCATACCTAGGTTTCGCAGCTGGTACTTTTGCGTCAGCCCGTCCTAAAGTGTCTTTATGACCACCAGAAATTGATGGCCGCCTGATTTAGCTACGTCACCACTTACCCCTGTCCCCCCAAGGGGCTTGTGCTGATACCATTTTTACTGACTCATGACCTTCGTAATCGGAAGATGGCACGGACTGGCCTGGCCGTCTACGGGCTTGTATTTGTCCCTAGGACCGAAGCTTGAGGGTTGGAGCTTCCGCGATGGAGATTACAAAAACATCTGCCGAACGCCATATTGCCTCAGTCGACATTGGGAGTCCGTCCCCACGGCAAATCGGCGCATTCCTCGACATAAGTATGGCACGTCAAAGGTCGTGACTTGGAAGGTTATTAACAGACGGGCTAACTCAGCCCGCATGGGAGCGTTTTGTAGTGACTCACTGACCGAGTCAGACTGAAATGGTTCTTTACTATGGTCTTTATATCACACACATGTTATATCCAAGACAACCTCACAGAAGTCTGCCAGATGTGGGGTGCAGGTCGTACTTGACACATGTGGACGGGCCGTTTAACCACTGTGTTGGAGCCCACTTCCGCCAGATCAAGGTTGGTGAGAGGGAGAGTAGATGCTGCGCCAGTCTGCTGAAATACGTTCGCGGCTGTTGGGTTGTCAACCATAAGTGTCAGCTGACGGCCGTAGAGTTCTAGTTCCTTTCAGAATTTACCCCCATTTTTGCAGACCAGTCTTTGCGGGATAATTTGCCCAACCACAGGACTGCAGTTTATCAGAGCCTTATTACTCCTGCACGTCTCGTAAGAATTGGCGCGATTCCGTTCCCAGGCAATCGCTGTCGAAATTTCGAAGTCTTTGGGACCACAAGAGAGATCGGTATCGCCGCTGGCGCTATGGTTCATCAGGATAGTTGAATAATAATTGAAGTTTGAACTACTTATGACTGGCTCGGCCATCCTTGTGCCGGTGTATAAAAGGACAAGACAAGCTATGAGAACTATCGTATCGTATGGCTCTCATCACCCGACGGTCATCTTGCTGTTTGTCGTGCCCGTGTTAGATAACGGGGGCGGACGGTATCTCGGCAAGAATCCTTGCAGTGGTTTAGGCTCGTCGTCGTCCCATCGCTGCGCGAATTCTGGTCGGCAGTTTTTTTTTTCAGAATGCTGCCTAGCTTTTGGAAAATTTGCACCGTTTCCCCCGTCCTGTTCGACCATGCTGTTAACAGTGTTTACTTCTCAGCCTGACTCCGCTAATGATGTCGCCCAATCAGAATCTAGCTGTGATAGCCCGTAGAAGGTAGTGTAGCAGGTGATTAGGATCGTTAAATCAGGACATTCAGGCTTCATTCTTAGCCAGTAGAAGACAGTCCACTTCGGAGGCGGCAAGTCAGCGCGAGGGCCACTAAGTTGTAGAGATCTTATGACCTATTAATGAGGCTTTTCGTCAATAACCACCCAGAGTCCTGCCATCCCATCCGAGCCTCTTGTCAAACTATCACCAGCGCCCTTACTATATTTCAAAATCATACCTGAATGGTTAGAAGAGATCAGTCGAAGGGAAATGGGTCGACAGCGCAGAGTTTCCTAGATCACAAGTCAGGCAAAGCAGAGTTGCAGGACAGACTTTACTGAGGCAGGGGAATGTGCACGCAGCTTAGTAAGTGGTGGCAGCAAGTCGTTTCACTAAGCGAGTCGGGCGTTGGTGTCACAAGGTCTCGGCGCGTGCACCTTGACGCTGTCCGCTTGTATCCTGTCAGCGAGGGACGCGGCGCCGGTTGATATAGAGCTCACACCACGCTAATGCCTGGACACGGGCAGCCCCATCTACAAATTGGCAGGGAACGTGAGACGGATGGCCTAAGTGGGTGGCCGCACCGATGAACTCGGAGACGGACTGCCACAGTACCCCATTGGTCAAAAAATCTGGCGCGGCCTTACACGCAGGTTCATTCTCTGTTACTGGTTGTCTATCTGTCTTTTAACGACGGGGGCTTAACTCCGCGTTCTGGTGTGGTTCATCCAGTTAGTGCATTCATCGGGTGCCCTAGGTTGACATAACTATGCACTTCAGTGTCCGTTGTGTTTACTTTTGTAATGTCTGCTGTCATACCGACCCGTTTTCTTGGAAAGAAAGGTCTCCTGAGGGCGAACAGGAAGTTGTTCTCAGTCAGTGCCGTCCGTAGTAAAACCTCTGCTGTTGCCCGCCGTCACTCTACTTATCGATCCGACTTATACGGAATATCAGGGAGTTAGACCAGGAGCATCAGTAAGGATGATGTTGTTTATAGGAATTCCGGTGCTAAAGTTGAGGGTCGACTTTATCGTCTCAGAGGAAAACCGCTCAGGCGGTATAGATTAATCGATAAACTGTATCCAAAGCCCACCGTCCTTGCCGGAGTAATTATAACAGTACCCTACATCTAGACCGAAGGCGGCGTGTAGCGATGTCGAATGAATTGTTTGGACGCAAAAGCATGAGTAACCAACCGGTCAGGGAAGCGAACATGGCGTCAACTGCGGACGATATATACAAGAGGGACCGTGAGAGAAGTGTTTGCTGCGGTGGGAGTTGGAGGTTGATGAGAAAGTAGCAGCTGGAGTCTGCGGAGGTGGGGGGACAGGAAGTGGACGAGATAGAAAACCAGAAGGTAGGGCATCATGGGACTCGTCCGAAGGAGTGTCCGGAGCAGCAGGTTTGGTGCGATTCATGCTCATGGCCTCCTCGCGAGTACTGCGATGGATGCGGGACGTTTTCGTTCCTCAAGAGGAAATCTGAAAGGGGTCGTTGTAGGGTCGGGGAGGTGTCCGCATAAATTGTCGGGGACGGTGCAGGAGACTGGTCTAATCTTCGACTGCGTCACGAGAGGCTGGGGAGATCATCAAGCCAGGAATGGGATGGTGGCGGCGAACACCAGCTCAGCTGTAGAATAGACAGGATCCGATTTTAGGACCGTACGGATGTGCTGGGCGATGGTTTGTCCAGTTGTCCGGATTCACAGCAGCGCGTGGGGAGGTTCGCAGCTGGCGGTGAAACCGCTCGATCATCCCGTTGGCACCCGGATGATAGGCTGTTGTGCGGATGCGAGTACAGCCTAAAAAGAAGAGTAGAGACTGGTAGGGATGAAATTCAAATTGGACACCACGGCAATTTGTAATGTTGGGGGGCACCGAAGGTAGTAACTTAACGGCCAAATAAAGCCTTGACCACCGTTGGAACTTCGACATCAGGCAGGGGAATAGCTTCTAGTTCCTGGATGAAGTGGTCTACACAGGTGAAAAGAGGGACGGCCGTTAGGCAGGCAGGGGACCTACGATGCCCAGGCTGCCATCACTCAACCGTTCACCAGGAGCAGGGAAGGTGCCGATGGGAACCTTGTTGTGTCACTGGACCTTTCTCTGCCAACAAGTCGAGACATGCTCGTCCAGACCCTTAGGTCATCGTACAACCCTGGCAAGATAAAGCGGCCGGAGACCGGATTGTAGGGATGAAGCCTTCCGACGGAGGCACTATGGGAGGCGGTGATGTCATAGAAAATGATGCCGTCGCCAGTAGTCATAGGGAGGTCCCGAACCATCTTCGTAACAGGGAGAACAAACGCGGCGTTGTCCGACAGCCATTTCAGCGAGGTCGATTTCGGAAGAAGGGTGGGGATGAACAATTGACACAGTGCACCAACCACTTCATTCCGTAACCCTCCATTTGGAGGATATCTGAGGTGAACTGAGAGATAAATTCCAGCCGGTGGGTCTTCTGGGTTTGA